TGAGCAATAGAAAAACGCTGGTTTTTTTTTTGTTTTTTTTTTTTTAAGGTTTTTGCCATAAGGCATATTTGCTCACTGGAGAGACAATAGTAAGGGAAGTGAGAAATCAACCCCCAGTGGGGATGGCCATGCTGTAATCCCATCTCCATTCTCCTTTCAGGATTTGGGCATGCATGTATACACACCTGGCCTGATTTCAGGCTATCAGGTCTGGGACTTGAACTATGGTTGGCCATGTGGGTGTCCATAGTCTTAACCCCCATACCACTTGCTAGCTCCTCGAAGACTTTTTAAAAAGTGGTGGTTAAGGGTGCTAGACTCCCATATGGCCGATCGCAGCTCAAGCCCTGGACCTGGCGGCTTGCTTTCTCACTTCCCCTTCTCTCTTTCACTCTGTCCCTCTCTGTTCAAAATTAAAAATAAATAAATGAAGTTAAATAAAATAATTCTTTAAAGAAAAAAATATGTAAGCATTTCAAATAAAAGCTAATGAATTAAAAAAACAAAAGTGGTGCGCATATCTTATGAAGGTGACCAACAGCAAGGGTCAAAATGTCAAAGAGTGAGATTAAGGGCAGGAAGTGCCATGGTGGTTAAGCACTAGACTCCCACATGGCTGACTACAGTTCAAATTCCAGATTTAGTGGTCTGAAAGTCATTCATGCCAGGCATAGGTCCAAAATCCCAAGAGGAGAATGGATTGTGATGTGGCCATCCCCCCACAAAGGGTGATTTCTCATTTTTCCTCTCTTCAGCGAGTTCATGTCACCCCCCAAAATGGAAAAAAAAACAGGTAAGAATGCTTTTCCTGGTTAATATTCAGTGTTCCTGTTATTTGGATATACAATATAAGCAAGCATCTAGGCCCTGGCTAATTAAAGTTTAGTCTGTGGACGAGGAGCACTGGTGTCCATCTGAGAACTTGTTAGAATATTTCAGGTCACTCTAGACCTAATGAATCAGAATCCACAAGCAAGTTCCTAGTTGATTCCTATGCCCAATAAAATCTGAGAAGCATCATTTCAGATAATCTCACATCATTCAGTTTGTAAGACAAACAGGATGACAAACTTATTAGTGGGTATTAAAAAAAATACTCCTCTTAGGCAAAGTCTCCTTAGATATGATACCAAAAACATAAACTGACAAAAGAAAAAAGTATTAGGGCCGGCAGGTGGTATAGTGGTTAAAGATGCTGGACTCCCACATGGCTGACAATGGTTCGAATCCTGGACCTGTTGGTTTGTTTTGTTTTCTCACCTCCCCCCCCACTCTGTCCCTCTCTGGTCAAATTAACAAAATAAGTAAATAAATAAAGTTAAATAAAACAATTTAAAAGAAAAAAGTATTGAACTCTATATCACAGGTTAAAATCTGATCCACTACAAATAATACCATGAAGTCAATGAAAAGACAACATACAATGGGAGAAAATATTTGAAAATTATTTATCTAATAAGGGATTTGCATCTCTTATGCAATCAGAACATAAAGACTTAAGATTTAATAACAGTTATATTTAAACACAGGCAAAGAGTTTGAATCGACATTACTTCAAAAGAAGTTACTGAGGGGCCAGCAGATGGCATAGTGGTTAAGGTGCTGGACTCCCACATGGCTCACGCCAGCAGCAGCCTGAAATTTACGCTGGGCGTGCATGCATGTGTGCCCAGAATCCCGAAAAGAAGGGAGGAAAAGAGACTGCAGTGTGGCCATGCCTCCTGGGGTGATTTTTCACTTTGTCTCTGTCTCTCTGGCAAATGCGTGCACCCCATAGAAAAAAAATTCTCTCTCTCCCACATACACACCTATTCAAATGGCCAATAAACATGAGATGTCCAACTTTATTAATCATTAGGGAAATGCAAACCACAATAAGACTCCATTTCCTGTCACCTACTATGGCTTCATTCAAAAGGACACACACTGTGCCAGCAGGTGGCATGGTGGTTTAAGAGCTGGATTCCCATGGCTGACCAGGTTTGAGTCCCAGACCTAGTGGCTTAAATATCACAACAAATAGATAGATAGATAAATAAATAAATAGTTTTTTTTTTTTTTTAAATGTCAGACACAAGTAAGTGTTGATAAGAATGTGGTGGAAAAATTAGAAAACTCAAACACCCTGGAAGGAATGTAAATTGTATAGCCACTTTGAAAAGAAGCCAGACACGGTTCTTCAAAACATTTAACAGAATTTTTATGGGTCACCTCAAAACATCTCACGGAATTACTATGGGTCACAGTAATTCTAGTATATGACCCACAGTAATTCTAGTATATGACCCACAGTAATTCTGTGTTATTTTTTTAATAGATTCTTTTTTTGGAGAGATTTTTGCTATAGGGTGCATGCACCTGCCAGAGACACAGAAAGTGAAAAATCACCACCCCCCCTCCAGGAGGGATGGCCACACTGCGGTCCTTTCTCCTCCACTCTCCTCTCAGGATTTTGGGCATGCACACACATGCACCCAGTGAGTCACTGGGTCCAGGACTCAAACCGTGGTTGACTATGTGGGAGTCCAACAATGTAACTATTAACACCATTTGCTGGTACCAATAGATTCATTTTTTGTAAATTAAAACAAATATATTTAATTTTATTAATTAATGAGGGTGGTGGGGGAATAGGGTGTGACTGTTAATGGGTATGAGATTTATTTTGGGGGTGTCAAAATTTTTTCCTCTTTTACTACCAGAAGGCACGTGTACTTTCCAGACACAGAGAAAGAACACACTCCCTAAGGGGACGTAGTGGTCACACAGCACTTTCTCCTCCATTTCTTCACCCTGTTGGGATTTGGGGCATACATGTACACATATCTGGCATGTTTTTTCTTTTTTTTTTTCTTCTTCTTCTTTTTTTTTTTTTTTAAAGAGAGACTTGCTATAGAGCATGTACACTTGCCAGAGACAGAAAGTGAGAAATCACCTCCGGACCCGGGGGGATGGCCGCATGCAATCCTTTCTCCTCCATTCTCCCCTTGGGATTTTGGGCACGCATGCACACGTGCCCAGCGTGAGCTTTAAGCCATCAGGTCTGCAAGTTGAACTGCAATTGGCTATGTGGGAGTTCAGCGACATAACCATTATGCCACCTACTGGCCCCCACACCTGGCATGTTTTTCAAGCCATTGGGCCGGCCTTCCTTTTCTCTATCCGATTAGAATCTCCTTTTTTTTTTTTGAGAGGTTTTTGCTACAGGGCATGTGTGCTCGCCAGAAAGACAGAGAGAGACAGAGAGTGAGAAATCACCCTCCGGGGGGGTGGGTGGCCTCGCCGCAATATCTTCTCCATTCCCCTCTTGAGATCCTGGGCATGCATGCACATGCTCCTGGCGTGAGTTTAAGTCACCAGGTCTGGAACTCGAACTGCAGTCGACTACATGGGAGTCCAGCAACATAGCCATTATGCCAACTGCTGGGACCTATTATTATTTAATTTGACCAGAGAGAGAGAAAGAGAGAGAGAGAAAAAGGAAAGTGATATAGCAAGTCACCAGGTCTGGGGCTCAAACCACTGTTGGCCATGTAGAAGTCCAGCACCTTAACCACACCACCTGTCAGCCCCTATCCTATTGGAATCTTATGTACACATATATTTTCTATGTTTTTCAAGATACTAGGGGTGAGATTTGAACCGAAGTGAGCCATACAGGATCCATATCTCTTAACTACTAGGCTACAGGGCTTGCCCAAGGGTGACAAAAATTTTCTAAGATCAGATAGGGTGATGATATTCACAATTCTGTGAATATTAAAAATCACTGTATATTTTGGGTCCAGCAGATGGCATAATGGTTATATTGCTCAACTCCCATGTAGTCAACCGCAGTTTGAGTCCCGGACCCGGTGACTTAGACTCACGCTGGGTGCATGTGTGTGCATGCCCAAGATCCTGAGAGGAGAATGGAGGAGAAAGGATTGCGGTGTGACCATCCCCCTGGGGTGCGATTTTTCACGTGCTGTCTCCCTGTGTCTGTCTCTCCGGTGAGTGAGTGCACACACCCTATAGGAAAAAAAAAAAAAAACAACTTGAAAAAAATACAGTTTAAGTGAGTAAAAATATATGGCATATAAATTGTATATATATATTTTTAAGTTTGCTATAGAGTGTGTTTGGTCATCAGGGAGGAGAGAGTGAGAAATCACCACCCCAGGAGTCATGGCCATGCCAAAGTTCCTTTTCTTCCACTCTCCTCTCAGGATTTTGGGCACCTACGCACCTGTGCCCAATGTGATTTTCAAGTCTCTGGGTCCAGGACTTGAACAGTGAAGTCGGCCATGTGGGATCCAGCTGCCTTAACCTCCACGCCACCTGCTGGCCAGGTCCTCTATCTTATTGTATTCTTACACATTTTTAAAATTTTGCTAGAGGTTGTGTGTGCTCAGTGGAGAGAAAGGGAAAGTGAGAAAATAGCCCTCATGGGGCACGGCCATGACATACTCTCGTCTCCACCTGTCCTTCCTGGGATTATGAGCGCACACACATGCATGCGCCACCAAGTTTGAGACTAGAACCGATGGCCACGTGGGATCCAGCTGCCTTCAACACCACGCCACCCACTGACTGGCCTGAATTTTGTTCCGACAGTGTAAAAAGTACCATGAGCAAACCCGCTGAGAATAAATGAAATTCATAAAGTGATACCTGAGTAGGCCGACAGCTCTGAATGATCTCCTGCCATTTCCCATGTATCCTGGCAACCAAGTCTTTTACCTTAAAAATATCAAAGAGGAGAAGGATCAGAGGAGAGTACCCTCATCTACAATCAACTTAATATCTGATATAAAAAACTTGATAGCCATAGTAGGGCTGCACCTGACAACTTGATTTGATTTTTGTCAAGAAAGAAAAAACCAGCTTTTAGGAAGAGCTTTCCAAACTAGAAATTAGCAAGATTTTATTACCATAATCTAAGATACTGAAGGCTTAGAACTCAATTTTCTTCAGCCAGAAGATCATCCAGAAAAACATACTCTCTGCCTTTTTTTTTTTTAAGATTTTATTTAACTTTATTTATTTATATTTATTTATTTTTAATTCTGACCAAAGTGGGACAAAGTGACAGAAAAGGAGGGAAAGTGAGAAAGCAAGCCACCAGGTCTGGGACTTGAACCGTGGTTACCCATGTGGAAGTCTAGCACCCTTCACCCCCATGGCACCTCCCGGCCCCCATACTTCCTGCTTTTAAAGGAACTTAATTTAAAAATCTCTCTCTTTCTCTCTCACACACACAGACTCTTCACACACATTAAAGGTTTTTGTCATAGAGTGCATGCTCTCACTGGAGAAAGAGAAGGAGAGAGAGAAAGAGAGTAGAAATCACCCCTTAGGAAGGATGGCCATATGACAATCCTTTCCCTTCCATTCTCTTCCTGGGGTTTTGGGAACACATGCACACGTGCCAGGTGTGATTTTCAAGCTGCCAAGTCCAGGACTTGAAGTGTGTTCAGCCTTGTAGGAGTCCAGTGCCTTAACCACCACACCACCTGCTGGCATGGAACTTAATTTCTGACTTGCTGGCTTTTGAACACCCAAATAAAGAAGCCATAGTGGTTTGTATTATAGGGCCCAAGCTTTCAGCCCTTTCTGCCTTCCCAGCTTCTATTTCCAGGCTGAAGGCCACAAAAACACATTTGTTATTTGTTCCTTTCTACATTTAGGAGGTCCAAAATTCAGGCTAGTAGGTGGCATAGTGGTTAAGGCACTGGGTACTCCCACATGGCTGACCAGTTTGAGTCCTAGACCTGGTGGCTTGCTTTCTCACTTTCCTTCTCTCTCTGGTAAAATTAAAATAAATGAATGAATGAACAGAATTAAATAAACAATTCTTAAAAGAAAAATGGTCGAACATTCACTGGTACTTTTCTCCAAGTTTTGGCAAAGTACTTTTAGATCTTTGGTATATTTTTATGTTTGGAGCAAATCTCAAACATGATCACAAAAGAACTTTATTACTTGAGAGATTCCCAACTAGTTCTTGAATGTTAACTGCTTAATTTTTTTTTTTTAAAGTTTTGCTATATGGCAGGTATGCTTACTAGAGACAGACAGAGAGACAGAGAAAGTATAAAAGCACCCCCTGGGGGGATGGCCACACTGCAATCCCTTCTCCTCCATTCTCCTTTTGGAATTTTCAGAATACATGTGCCTAGTATGCTTTTCAAGCAGATGGGTCCAGGATTCAAACTGTGCACTTAGCCATGTGGTATCCAGTTGCTTTAACTATACCATGCCAAAAAATGTTTCAATTGAGCCAGGAACTTTTTTTTTTTGAGAGGTTTTTGCTACAGGGCCTGTGTACTTTCAAGAGAGACACACAGAGAGTCCAATAGGGAGAATTCACCCCCTAGGAGAGATGGCCATGCCATAATCTCTTCTTTTCCTGGGATTTTGGGCATGCATGCACAGGCACTGGGTGTGAGTTTTAAGCCACGGGGTCTGGGACTTGAACTGCGATTGACTATGTGAAAGTCCAGCAATATAACCATTATGCCATCTGCTGATCCTTAAGTCAGGAACTTTTCATTTCAATTGTTTTAATTTTATAAAGTAAATTATAACCTCTGCTTTTTTCCTTTTTAATATCTTTTTTTCAAAAAGGATTTATTAACTCTATTTATTATTATTAATTTGCTATAGGGGACATGCACTCACCAGAAAGAGACAGAAAGCAAACTACCAGGTCCAGGACTTGAACTGTGTGTGTCGTGTAAGAGTCTACCATGCCACTTGCTGGCCCTGACCTCTGCTTCTTTTCTTGAGTTAGGGTTTGGCAAATTAAATTTCGCCCAAACCATCATCAGCTTTTCTGCTGCAGGTTACTGGAGAGGCATGCAACTACTTCAGCAG